TTATAAATATAAACTAGCTTTTCGGACCGCGCTTCGCGCGGTCCTCAAAGCCAGCCTTTCTATTCGGACCGCGCTTTGCGCGGTCCTCATATAGTCTATATTAAATCCGTTTTTAACACAAAAAATTAATTCTTTTTTTGTATTACCGCGAACTACTTCCACATTTGTTGTTCGACTTTCACGAAATTTATACCAAAATAAATGTTTAAATTTTTTTGTGGATGACTACTATGTTATCTATTTCTTTCTCCCAGATATTTTATTTTCTTTTTTTTAAGACACGCTTTTCTCTCTCTCTCACTCTAAAACACAACGCGCTCCCTCTCTCTCTCTTTAAGACAATGCTCTCTCTCTCTCCTTATCTCTCTCCCTCCCTCTTTCTTTAAGACACACGCTCTCTCTCTCTCTCTCTCTCTCTCTCTCTCTCTCTCTCTCTGTGTATGTGTGTGGGGTTTTTTAAGTTTACGCTTTCACCTACGCATCCACCCACACAATCGCATATTTATGAACGGATTTTTTAAAAAATTGGTACCAAAATGTTGCAAATTTTTGGCGACGATGTGGTTTTTTCAAGTGTTACACCTCCACCCACACGCATGCGCATTTATGGACCAATTTTCACGAAATTAGTACCAAAATGTTGCAAATTTTTCTGAGAAAGCTGCTGTGTGGTTTTTTTAAGTTTTATCCCACCCACGCATGCATCCACGCATTCACACATTTATTCACATACTTTTTTGAAATTTGTAGTTAAATTTTGTTGGAGATGGCTACTATGATTTTAACAAATTTTTATCATCCTATTCATCCACCCACGCACCCATGCACCCATTTGCATACGCATTTATTGACTTGGTCACACCAAGAAGTAATTTTTAAAAAATTTGTGTACGTATTTGTGATTATGTGTGCAATTCGTGTAAATAAACCTTTAATTTGTATGCAATTTTCACGAAATTAGTACCAAAATGTTGCAAATTTTTGCAATCACAAACATGTACACAAATTTATTTAAAATTACTTATTGGTGTGACCAAGTCAATAAATGCGTATGCACATGGGTGCATGGGTGCGTGGGTGGATGAATAGGATGATAAAAATTTGTTAAAATCATAGTAGCCATCCCCAACAAAATTTGAGTACAAATTTCGAAAAAGTCTGTGAATAAATGTGTGAATGCGTGGGTGGGATAAAACTTTAAAAAACCACACAGCAGCTTTCTCAAAAAAATTTGCAACATTTTTGTACCAATTTCGTAAAAATATTGGTCCATAAATGCGCACGCGCGTGGATGAATGCGTGGGTGGAGGTGTAACAATTGAAAAAACCACATCGTCGCCATCTTCAAAAAATTGCAACATTTTGGTACCAATTTAAAAAAATCGGTTTATAAATATACGATTGCGTGGGTGGGTGCGTGGGTGGAGGCGTAAACTTAAAAAATAAAACACCAGCTTTGTCAGAAAAATTTGCAACATTTTGGTACTAATTTCGTGAAAATTGGTCATAAATGCGCATGCGCGTGGGTGGGTGCGTGGGTGGAGGTGTAACACTTGAAAAAACCGCATCGTCGCCATCTCCAAAAAATTTGCAACATTTTTGTACCAATTTCGTAAAAATATTGGTCCATCAATGCGCACGCGCGTGGATGATTGCGTGGGTGGAGGCGTAAACTTAAAAAATAAAACACCAGTTTCCTCAGAAAATTTGCAACATTTTGGTACTAATTTCGTGAAAATTGGTCCATAAATGCGCATGCGTGTGGGTGGATGCGTGGGTGGAGGTGTTACACTTAAAAAACCGCATCGTCGCTATCTCCAAAAATTTTGCAACATTTTGATACCATGTGTTCAGAAATATTGCAAAAAAAAAATTTTTTCGCAAAAACATACCCTCCTCTGAAGAAAAAAATAAAAATAAAAAAATTAAAAAAAAACCCACAGCAGCCACCCCCGAAAAATTTGCAACATTTTGGTACCAATTTCGAGACAATCGGTCCACAAATGCGGAAGTAGTTCGGGCACAGACAGACAGACAGACAGACGGACGGTGCTTATATATATAGATTAAATTAATCCCTCTCTCTCTTTCTCTCTCTCTCTCTCTCTCTCTCTCTCTCCCTCTCCCTCCTCAATATTATATATAATAATATAATATTATAAATAAATATTATATAATATAATCATTTTTTGCAGTAAAACAGAAAGCTCGATGGGCAAGAGCCGGAAGAGGTACCAATTTAAAAAAAATCGGTTCATAAATATACGATTGCGTGGGTGGGTGCGTGGGTGGAGGGGTAAACTTAAAAAAATAAACCAGTAGTTTTCTCAAAAAAATTTGCAACATTTTGGTACTAATTTCGTGAAAATTGGTCCATAAATGCGCATGCGCGTGGGTGGATGCGTGGGTGGGTGCGTGGGTGGGGGTGTAACACTTAAAAAAACCGCATCGTCGTTATCTCCAAAAAATTTGCAACATTTTGATACCATGTGTTCAGAAATATTGCAAAAAAAGATTAAACATACCCTCCTCTGTAGAAAAAAAAAAAAAATTAAAAATTAAAAAAAAAACCCCACAGCAGCCACCCCCAAAAATTTGCAACATTTTGGTACCAGTTTCACGAATATCGGTCCACAAATGCGGAAGTAGTTCGCGTACATACATACAGACAGACGGTGCTTATATATATAGATTGTTTATATAATATTATAAACCTAGTAGATAGATAGATAGATAGATATACATTTATTGTTCCCCTTGGGGTTACAATTTACATATTTTTACAAAAATTACAAGACTTTATTAGAAACCTAGTAATTATATTGTATTATTTAAACAATAACAATTATAATAATAAGAATATTTTTAAGTCAGCTCTCCAATTTTTAAACCACCATATTCAGCCGACTTTCGGACCAATATTTTTCTCGTCTATTTCTTTACAGGGGATGTTAAGAGAAGGAACAAGGGGAATTTCTGAGATCCCAACCATAGGATTCAAATTCCTTAGTTTCCAAATTTTCTTATCTTAATCTGTCGCAATAACATCGCGTTTGGCTCTTTAGTCGAGATGAATATGGTTTAATAACAATTATATTTGATATTTTAAATTATCAAGTTTTGAATACAAACTAGTATTATAAAAACAAAATATTTAAAATGTTGAGAAATACTATGGACATTTTTATTCTTATATTAAACATTTTTAATTTGTGAAAAATACATTTCTAATAATCAATACAAGATTTTTGATGCACAATATTATACTTAAAAAAATCATGTCATTAATATATTAATACGTTTTATTGAAACATATATATATATTGTGTATTACCTTAGGGATAATATTTTAATATATTTCAATATTTTATAATGTGTACATACACAAACAGACGTTTGTTTCTTAATTTGTGAATCTCTTTTGAAACGTCTGTTTCGTGATATAATTGACAAAAAAATAAGTAATGCGATTTTTTTATTGATAATAGAATAAAAAATGTCTCTTTGTTTTTAGTTATTCTAAAACCCTAGAACAGCTTTGTTATGTATGATTATCCTTGATATTTCTGATGCCAAATGCTAATATATATGTAAAAATATATTATTAATATGCTATCAATGTATAATGCAAAAATATATTATAATATATATGCAAAATTTGTTATTAATATGCTATCAATATAGTGGAATAAAAATGTATATTCTTTTTACCTGGATGTTTCCATGGTGGAAATACTTGTTGACTTCCTATCAATTCAGGAGTAATTGTTAGAGATAATTGTGATCCAGGATGTTGAAAAATTGCTCTTGATATAGATCTTTTAAAAGCTGGTGGCAAGTTCAAAAAACCTACAAATTTTTTGCTTATAACTGCTGTTGTCTAATAAATTAAATTACTGTTAACATACTTGATATATCATTTGCTAGAGGAGTTTTAATTTCTTTTTTCACGTGTCGGTTATTCTTTATTTTAAATTTTTTCATAAAATTTCGACAAATATTAGTCACAATTTTACCATCAAGATTACCTATTCAAAAAACAAAATTATAAATATGTAATAAATATAATATAGTGAAGTAAACATATGATAATATAGTAATATGTAAATTGTTTACCTAACAAAATGCTATTAGCAATTAGATTTTCCCTGTATCTATAAGATTGTGTAACAGGATTGCCTTGCAAGGACAGATCTTTCAAGGAGATTAATGTACTTATTGTTCTAATTAAATCATCCATGTCATTCAAAAAATTATTTTTTGCTTCCAATGTATTTAATTCCCGAAATGCAGTTAAGTTTTTTAAGGATGTTATGTTATCGTCAGAAATATTAAGAACTTTTAGACACATCTAAAACAAAAAAAAAACAATTTATATATATGTTTATCAAAGATATATAAATTAATCTCCATATTAATTAAAAAAGATTTAGTTTGCATTTCAATATTCATATTGTACTTACAGATAAAGCAAAAGCGCTGCGTGGTTCAAAGCATAACGATTCCCCAAATGGTATTTTTTGACTCTCAATATGTAATTCTTGTAATTGTTTTGCATTTTCCAATCCTTCAATTATAATGATATTATTATGCCCCAGATAAAGTTTTTGAAGATTTTGTAGAGATCTCAAATTTTCTATTTTTGTTATATTATTATGTTGTAAATATAAATGTGTTAAATTGCATGCAAATGTAAACTCTTTATTTTTGATATATTATTATTCTGTAGATATATAACTTGCAAGTTTTTATGAATATCGAGGTCGCCCTATATAAACATAAAATTTTATTAAAAATGAATTACATTTCCAGATAGCACTTCCAGATAAGCATTTCGAGATGATTATGAGCTCAAAAAAATTCATTTTTTATAATTCTTTATAAATTTATATAATCTGTTCAAAATGATATGAAAAAGGATTCAACATTCTTATGGAGTATCAAACAATTTTATATGCATTTGAAAAAAAACTCAGAATTAATGACATACAAATGAATTTATTATGTAGGGTGTTTATTAAATCTCTCCTCCCCCCCCTCTCTCTCTCTGCAACTTACAATACTGCTGATAAACATGTCATTCATATGTAAATGAGTCAATTTCCGCAATTCTTCCTTTTTTATTGTTTTACTGAGCGATTTATTACTTAATATATGAGAACATTTTCTTTCTATAATATCTGTTGTTAATTTCACCATTATAATTACGTTAGTAAATGTTTTGACAAGAATACAATAAGCGATCTGTTACAGAATTTTATCGATCAAACATTAGGCGTATAGTGTATGGCGATGGCATATGACGTATCGATGATACGAAATATGCAACATGTATAAGCTATTATCGAATACGAGTAATAACATGCAAAGAAACCTATTTATTTCGATAGATTTCGCAAAAAAAATTGATTTCTCGTTTCTGATGCAATTGAGTATAATGACAATAAGAGATTAAGAGTGACAAATAGTAAGCTATTAACTACGAATCATTTTAATTAAGTTAAATTAGGTTAAATAACATATTCGGAAATTATATATTATATATATAAAAGTACCGGAACAGCAGAATAACTCGAAAAATATGAGTCCTACAAAAAATGTTAAGTACTGGGTTTTTATGATTTTTTCCTGGTTATTTGAACATCAGATAGCCAGGAAAAATCATAAAAACCCAGTACTTAACATTTTTTGGACTCATATTTTTCGAGTTATTCTGCTGTTCCGGTACTTTTATAACACCCTGTATACACTTAAATTTGTGTGTACATCTAATATATTGAGCATTTGTTTATTAAATGTGTTTCAAATATGTGGAAGAATAATGAAATTACAAAATTGAACTTTAATGCAATTAAATGTTAAAATGTTTAATAAAATTACAATTATGCCAGATATTAAATAAAATATTTAATATTAAATCTTTTTAAACTTGCATCATATATTCATACTAAATTCACTTAATGTAACAGATATAAGATGTAATTTTTTAATATACTTTGGTCTAAACTTTGGTAACTATACACCACCGTGATTTCATGATCTTTCTGACAATATACGAAAGACAAAATATATAAGGTTGAATTGATTATTTAGATATAATATATATCCTGTTTCTTAATGTTTATATCCATTTGGATTATTTTGTTGCCATTTCCATGTATCTAAACCTGAAAAAAATATCAATATACTTTTAATTTTAGAACATTATAATGAATATTTCATGAAATTGCATAAAAACGGTTCCACATAACTGTTATGACTGCTATTAATTTTATTATACTAATTTATGTCTTACACATGTCATCCATATTTTTTGTAGCAATCCAATCCAGTTCTTTGTTAGCGATACTAGCATCCGCATAACTAACAGCAATGTCACCTGGTCTACGTTCAACTATTTTGTATGAGATTTTTTTTCCAGATGCTTTCTCAAATGCATGTATAACTTCAAGCACAGAATAGCCTTTTCCAGTGCCAAGATTTATCGCCTTAAATCCTCTCAGATTATGAGTTTTTTGATAAATTATGGCTTTCACATGTCCTACTGCTAAGTCCATAATATGAATATAGTCACGCATACCTGCCAACATAATTAGAAAAAAAATTTATTATAATTGTCTTTAAACTTGTCTTTTTTTAAGTATATTTCTTTCTTTTTTATATATATATATATATATATATATATATATATATCCTCTTTAGTATGTAATTTATAACTAGCAGTTCTTAAAAACAGTTGTTTTCTTTACACCAATTAATTTCCCTCATTATTTTGAGTATAAAAGTATTGAGATAAGATCATCAGAAAATAAATATTTGTTGAAATATTTTATTTATGAAAGATTATGTGAAATTAAAGTACAAAATATCTCGTACATTAGTCATTTTTTTATCATCATACCCTTATAATTTTTGTACAGAACATTGTAAAGAATCGATTTATATATAAAAAATATAGTAGTTAGAATTATTTAAAAAATTCGAGATGATCTTATCCTAATCTTGGCAACACTATTCAAGGTTAAAATGATAAGATCTGTTACATATTTTTAAACCCTACAATTTTTTTAAACAATTTTGTCTAAAATTGGTTATAAGATATTTGACCGTTTCCAGACTTTCAAACACTCTGTACATATATTAAGATTTATTTTTAATTAAATTTTTCCGCAAACAGAAATATATGGAATTTTTACCTGTGCCATCAGGTGTATCATAGTCATTACCATAAACAAATAATGTATCCCTTTTTCCAACAGAGACTTGTGCAATATAAGGCATTAAATTATTTGGTACACCATTAGGATCTTCTCCAATTTGACCTGAAGGATGTGCACCAACAGGATTAAAATATCTCAGAGATATAACAGAAAATTCCTGTAAATAATACTTTCTATTTAAATAGATTATACATATTATTCTGTTGTAATATACATACTTTTATACGTATATGTATATATATATATATACGTTGTAATATATATACTGTTGTAATATATATACTTTGTAAAATACATATATACCTTATCTGATATACACAAATCCTTTAATATTTCTTCTACCATAAACTTTGTCTGCCCATAAGGATTCGTGCAATTACCAGTTTTCATATCTTCCATTAAAGGAAGTTGCTGAGGTACACCATAAACTGTAGCACTGCTTGAATAAATAAAATGTTTTACATTGTTCTCTCGCATAACTTCTAATAAATTTATTGTTCCACTGACGTTAATCTTATAGTACTCAAGTGGTTTCTGACATGATTCACTAACTGCTTTTAATGCAGCAAAGTGTATAACACTATGAAAAGTATACTGCAATGAATATTTTTAGTTTGAATCACATATACTATCAACAAACATAATATCAGTTATACGCCGATAAATATATACTTTACCTTCTGAAATACATTTCTTAAATCATTAATATTCATAATGTCACATATGATAAATGTAATATTTTTATTTGTCAATTTTTCTATTCTAAGGAGGCATTCTGGTTTCTCAAAATTCGAGTCTGTGAATGAGAAAGAAATAACTTAATAAATCTGTAAAATTTTTATATGCAGAAATATATTATGTGATATATACATAAAAAACAGTGTTAAATTAAATTAAAATAGGTAATTGTTAAAAATTGTTTAACTTCTAGATATTTTAGTACATTCTTGATAGAAAATATGTTAAAATTCAATGTAAAAAATACTTTTAATATATGCTATTATTTATATATTATCTAAATTGATAAATTGAAATATATATACACTATATCACTATTTTATCAAATGACTTCTTATACTTCACCTTTATGTGCATTGCTAAGGTTATCAATTACTACCACCTGAATGTCTGCATTTAATAATTCCAAGACTGTATGAGAACCGATATACCCAGCACCTCCCGTTACCAGAACATTCCAAGATTTGCTTGCCATTATTTATTGCAAAATGCTGTTTGTTTGTTAACATAATATATATATATATATATATATATATATATATATATATGTATGTATGTATGTATGTATGTATGTATGTATGTATGTATGTATGTATGTATGTATGTGTGTATATATATATATATATATATATATATATATATATATATATATATATATATATTTTTATATATTTTGTGTTCTTATATAACTTTACAACTTTAAGTATTTATTTCAAAAAGTTAAAAAAAAAAAATTTAATGTACAATATTATCAAATTGTACCGCAATAAGCTATAATATAATAAAAATAAATTTACTGTTACAAAATGCAATATATATATATATGTATGTAATAATTTACAGTAATAATTTTTATATTATAGTTATACATCTCTAAGAGAGTTAGATGAAAAAGATGTATATGTACAATATATTTACAGAATATATATAGTTGTACACACAAGCTGTTAAAACTGTTCCGTGCCAGTTGAGTTTTAGAAAAATCAGTAGCAGTGCAGTTTAATCGATACATCTTATTCTGTGATAACCATACATACTGACCTTATCGCGACACAAGGACAGATGACGCAATCATGATGAAGTTACATAACATTGACACATCATCGTTCATCACTGATGAAAAGTGACTAACGAATTCAATCGAAAAGATTCCGAGGCGTGTACATCCGATAATTTTGTTCAATTTCCATCATTTACGTCTCCTTCATCATCTACAAAACATACCGCAATTTATATAACAATAACGACGCTGTGACGATATCCAGATACATTTTAAATAAAAAAAATTGATATTTTCTCTATATGTTGACAAAAACTTCAATCAAGCATATTAATTTAATCATTGATATTAATTTACAAAATAATCAATAACAGAATTTTAAATTTATTACACTTATTCGATCAAATTTCATTCAATTCATCATGGATTATCAATGATTAACGTCAAAATTTCACACATAATGTATATATAACACACACACACACACACACACACACACACACACACACACACACACACACACACACACACACACACACACATATATATACATTATACAATTACCACACACACAACACACAACACACACAAAATTTCTAATTGTATAATGTGTGTATATATATATATATTATATACAATTAGAAGTTTTATATATATGTGTGTGTATGTGTATAATATATATATATAATATATATATATATTATACAATTAGAAATTATGACGATTAGTCGTTGATAATAAATAATAAATTAAATGAAATTTGTGATCGAATAAGTGACTTTCTGATTCTTTCTTCGTCAATTACATAGATTACATATAAAATTCATGGAACCTTTTCTGAGATGAAGGGAAGATTTGTAGTAAGAATACCAGTCGATTAAAACAATTTCGATACGCATAGGATATATTGAGCTCTACAACTCTACAGTCTATCAATATCGGAGCATGGAAGAATACAAGAATTTTTGCTGTATATACTACCTGATACTACTCTTTCCTTAAAAAGAGCTGTTAAGTCGATTACTCGAATATATCGAAATGTTGAAGCCTCTTTATTTGCGATCTGATTGAATGCTGGCGCGTTGCGATATATTCGTGGTTAGGATAGGTGCGTAGTG